AAAATTCAATACGTTGCAAAAACTAAAACAGGTAGAAAACAAAGATCCAAAGGGGAAATGAAAATGCAATCGGATATGGACTAGCATGCAGGCCTGGATCGAGGATTTCATAGTTCTCCAGATGCGTTTTTGCAGATTGACGATGATTCCAGCGCCGTTGCCAACACCAACACCACCGCCGCCACCTTCGGACCACCATCGCCATAGTCACTCGAAAGTCGAGCAGTAGTAGCAGCGTGGAACGCTTGTGCTGAGACTATTTGCTCTTTTTCGTTCTTACGCGTGGTTTATGTAAATTCCAAGATCTCGCAAGGAGCTCAGTATGAGGTGCTGCCGGTGGAGCAAAGGTATAGATGAAGAGAGTGGATTGCAAATGATTCTGGGAAAATTGCTACCCCAGCTCGAGCGACGACGAGGGAGACGATATATCGACCGCATTGGCAGCGGAGTGGCCAGTGCTGTAACTCACGGCCATGTGAAGCTTAACATGGATGCGTACAATGACAAAAACGAAGGTCGGCTTTTTCTTTGCACTCTTTTCTTTTCTTCTTCGAACACAATCTTGTTGACGATTATGTAAGTCGTTGCCTTCACTTTCCTTTATGATTTTTTCCTCCATTTTTTCCTTTTTTTTTCTCTGGGAAACTAAAGCATGGCTTTCGGGATGAGGAGGAGGAGGAGATAGAGGATGAAAGAATCAAGCCTATCTTCTGATTGTGACTGCCAAACCCAGAGATGAAGTTGGATCCTCGAGGTAGTCATTTTTTCTGTGGCTTCGCTTTTCTCTTCCTGTAGAGATTGAACAGGTGAGCTTTCCAGAAAAGTAATGGCAACAGTAAGCAGAGTTCTCTTAAGTCTCATACTACAGAAAATGACTGACAGTCTTGTACGTAGGTACAATCTGTTAGTTCAATCACAATGGCTTGTAACTCTATTTGCAAGCCAGCAGTTTATCGAGCAAAGTCAATTTGGTCCAGCTGGGTGTGCATCACCTGAAGATTTTCTGGAGCTTAGCTTGCCGGACAGCCACTGCCTCTGGGAGGAGCCACTGACGGATAATCTCGGCCGTGTCAGGACAATGCAAAACTTTTGGCTGCTCAGGCTGGAACTTTTTGTGGGAGGACATGCTTGGACGATTGCAGATCGAAAAGAATGATGATGGATGGACAGATGACGTTCAACAGCAGGATTTGTGGCATGCAAAGTTATTTCCGGCTCCATCAAGCCATCTTCACGGCAAACTCTGCAGCTAGTTCAGCGTGGAGGTCGTTCATGCCCGAGAGCATTGCCCCAAATCAGTGAACTCTTGCAGCTCTGCAAAACTGAGTCGTTTTGCAGCTAGCCACGCCTTCGAAATACTGGCAAGCGACTTCGGGGACAGAAGTGAATTTTTTGTTTCTACGTGTCCTTTACAGATGGTGTGCTGGGAAGTAACTACTTCGTCTTCAACCATCTACTGTAAGCCTTCCCGTTCGGCTTGACTTCGTTGGTGGCTGGAGCAAAGGCTGCGTGCTCAACATGGCAGTCTACTACCTGTTGGCTGCTCAAGAAGATTCCTGGCGTGAGTTTAAAAGCTCCTTTCGATGAGAACGATCCGTTTGGCCGCGCTGGTGGTAACAGGCCGGACGAGTCTCAACCCTCGAGCGTCTGTTCCCCAGTGCAGTGGTCTAGGCACCTCGAGCATTCTAGCAGCTGCGGTACTCGAAGTGAGTGGCGGTAACACGGCAAAGACAGCGTTGCAGCGCTGGAGTTGGTGCTAGAGCAACTTATGGGAACTGGAGGGCAAGTTGGAGGGATTTATCCTGGTCTAAAAGCTCACGACGAGCCTCCCATCGAAGCCACTCACATTTTCGGTCGAGACAGTACCTTTGCCTCCAGATGTCCGGGAAGAACTTGAGCATCGAATGCTCCTCGTCTTCACTAGACAGGTAAGTGTCATTTGCAAACATCACGTTTTCTTTTCTTTCTTTTTCCAGGTGAGAGAAGGTTCTACAAAAAGTTGTCAAGCGTTACTCTGTCATCAATCCAACAAGCTGGCAAAACTGCGACGGGATGGTTTTGTCAAGCAAGATCTTGACACTGTGGGGATGATAATGCAAGAGGCATGGCAAATCCACCAAGAACTCGATCCCACGTTCTCGTCGATGCGATTTTCAAGAAGATCACCCATCTTAGCTGCGGCTACACGCTCGTAGGCGCTGGTGGAGGTGGATTTGCGATTGTTATGGCCAAAGAGGGGGACTCGGCAGGAATTATCAGAGAATTTCTCTCCTCCAGTTTCAAGGATTCGATCGAGCTCTACAGCGGAGTGGCTATGATATATAATGATCCAAGTGTTATTTACATCGGCTACGTTTAAGTGTAGCAAGCTCTCGTTCACAAAAGCCAAGCACAAGAGTTCCTTGATATTTTTGTAATGCCACATTTGCATGATGCAGAGTTTGAATAACTTCATGAGCCTTCCTTGATACTACAATCGCCATGAATTCCAGCTCTTGTGTAGGTTAGCTTTCAGAGCGAGGAAGACCTGATTGCCACAGGCGACTTCAAGCTGTAGCCTTCGGCAAGGATGAGCGTCTTGAGCAGCCGACAGTTGGATAGAAAATTTGAGATGTCGTCAATAGTCAAGCTGTGAGCTGAGCTCCTGTATCAGAGAGAAGTTGGTGTGATCAAAAGCTTGCAACCATGATCAACTTCTCAAGCCTGTCACAACCTATAACTTTCACAACAACGCAATCCCCTACGGGTAAAAATCCAGCTCTTTCAGATCCACCATATCCATCCATAACCAGAGTTTTACTTCCATATAGCTTACAGTCCTCCATAACTAATACTTCAAGCTTCAGACAAGCTTGCACCATATCATCAAAACAGACTTGGGTATAGAGGCGAAAGAACTGGAAGCCCAGTTTTGAATGCCATTTCCTTCGGTTTCATGCTTGAAACCCATTCAAAACCTCCTAGAAACCAGAAACATCAAGTGCTGATAGATTTGTCAAGCTTTGTCCAATCAATGCCACTCACCTCCATTTACCATCTTTTTTAGTTCATCATTACCCTGCTTCCTCCATGCTTCACGATCACTCATAAAAGCATGAGCATTGTGAGTCTTGACCAGCCAGGATGCCAACTGGTGCTAAACTCAGTTGAGACTTCCAAAAAAAACCCTTAATTTATGTCCTAAAATGCAAATAATGATTTTAATGAATTGATTCTTAGAACAATGGTGCTTGATTAGGAATGTCAATCTCTTCATTTATGTTTTTGGTAAAGGAATTAAATATATATAGTGGTCTACCAAAACGAATCAAAGTGCATTTTACTAAAGTTTTAGGCATGATATTAAAGCATATACTACTTTTTCTCCATGTTCAAAACAAATTTGCTAAATGTTTATAGAGCAAATCATAAATGTCTTTTTGGCTTTACCTTTTACAACAAATTTATAGAGTTGGCATTTTGATAAAGCATTTACTTCTAGAACTAGTATATAGAGTGTTACTCAATCTAATGCTACAAGTGCTTCTATAGGCTATAAGGGATTATTTGTTGGTCGAAAGCAAATGCAAAATAATAACATTGAGGAAATATTTGATGACATAAGAAATATGAATTTAAATTATATGATATCAAAGTTCATCATCTTAAATGCCATACCATTTAATATTGTCAAAAATCTGTATTTTCATGAAATGATTAAGATATTGTAATGTTAGACTTGGTGCTGCATAAAAAATTCTTGGTTACAAGAAGCTTCATACTACTCAAACTCACTCATCACTATACTCTAATCAAATGATAAGTGAATTGAGTAGTATGAAGTTTTTTATAACTAAGAATCCTCAATTGTAACATAAGGTTTAACATTACAAACGATTGTAAATATTATGTGAAAATATAGCATTTGACAATTGTAGAAAGTAAAGCCAACAAAGCATTCATGATTTACTCCATAAACATTATATGAGTTTGTTTCTGAACATGGAAAAAAGAATGTTTGAAACATTACATATTTCAATATTATACCTAGAAATTTTAATAAAATGAACCTTGATTCATTTTGGCAAACTACTATATATTTGTCCATAGTAATTACACCTTTAATATTCAACTCCTTTGCCAATAACACAAGTGGAGATATGGGACCAAGTAAATGCCATTGTTCCAAGTGTCTCAAAATCAATTGCTAAACATTAGAATATAATTGATGGAATTACTGGAATCATGAGTTGCATTACAAAGGACGTTTTTTGGGAATAAATAAAACTAAGTGTTTCACTGAACAGACTGCATTCAGAAGCAATTGCCATCCTAGCTGAATGCAGTCAAGATTCACAATGGTCTAGTTCATATGAGCTTTCGACTGGTATTGACAATGGGTGGAATTCGACTTCTCCAAGTTCTTTGAGAAGCCAGCACAAAGAACTTGACCAACAAAAAATAGGACAAGAGAAAAGGTTCTACTTCCAGTGCTGCTGCCACATTGGAGAGTGATGAGTCAGACTCGGAGGCTGATTATGATGTGTGGGATCTGGAAGATAAGTTCCAATGGACGAGAGAGATCTCTCAGAGCCGGTGGCATGACATTGTGTTTGAAGATAAGAGGCCTTTGCTGGTGGCCGCACGAGAGATATGGTATGTTTTCGAACTCCTTGTTCTAACTTCGTTTGATCCAATCCAGATCGAACGCTGGCTTTCAAGCTTTGAAGGAGCTGGAGAAGGCAGTGAAGACTTTCTATGATTTCACGTAACTTTTGTACTATTCTGGAGATATATATGCTCGATCATAAACAGGCTGCGAGGATTGATGTGCAGAGAGATCGAGACATGGATCTCGATATCTTCCCTGCATTGCTCGTTATAAGGGAGTTAATGCTGGTTAGTCTTTGTGAGAATACGCTTTCTCCTCTTTTTCTTGCTTGCACGGGCTCGGATGAAATCCTCCAAGCCACCACACACTTTTCCACAGACCTGCAACTAGTTCCGTGGAAGAAGAAAAAAGATTTGGAATGAATCTTCTAATAAGTCTTATTATACGAAAACAAAATGCTTGAATAGCTTACGCTTCCCAACCACGAAGAACCGTGGCCCGAGCGACTCTATGGACTCCAAGCGTGAAAGCTCCCATTCGAAGGCTACAATTATGAGTCTTGCATGATTCTTTCACGCTCTTATATGCACTGGTGATGTATCTCTGCAGCTCCATGTTGACTTTATCTTCGTCCCACATAAAGCCTTGATTGTTCTATATGAAAGAGAAATAGCAAATGCTCAAACCAAAACTTGCGTACAAAAAGAGCCTCACTGACCTGTACCCATTCGAAGTAGCTCACTGTGACACCGCCTGAGTTTGCAAGGATGTCGGGCAGGACAATGATGCCCTTCTTTGCAAAAATCTGGTCACAAAAACCATCAATTCAATCTAGAAAACTTTTTGATTTTTCCTATACCTCATCCGCCTCGGGCTCAGTGGGATGGTTTGCTGCTTCTACGATGAATCGTGCCTTGACATCCTTTGCATTCTCCCTGTGGTTTTACGTACGTCAGTAAAAGAAATAAATGAGAGCAAAGCTTTTACCCATTGAGAACACCACCCAAGGCAGCTGGGATGAGCACATCACAGTCTTCCATTAGGATGGAGCTCGGGTCGATCGGATCTCCCAACGGGAAGCCTCTCACGCCACCGTTTGCTCGGGCGTGCTTCATCAGCGCCGGGATATCCAATCCAGCATCGTTCTTTATCGCTCCAGTTATGTCGCTTACCGCCTTGACTCTTCCTTTGGCCTCGAACAGGAACTGGGCAGTATGGTGACCAACATTGCCAAATCCCTGCAAGAGCTCTCAGTTGATCAAACTCGGAGAAGAAAAACAATGGAAGCTATAAACTGCTCTACCTGGATCACAAAAGTTTGGTTCGAGAGAGACTTGCCATGGTCGGCAAGCAATGCTTCAGTCACGTATACAACTCCTCTTCCAGTGGCAGCCTCACGTCCTACAGAGCCACCTAGGTCCTGAGAAGCAAAAACAATATCAGAGGACAAATCAAATGATCATAAAAAAAAACAAGCTTACAAGTGGCTTTCCAGTGACTACTGCTGGAGAGTACCCATGAAACTTGGAGTACTCATCCAGAATCCAAGCCATGGTCTGTGAAGAAACAAAAAAAATGAAAATCCAACTTTGCAAAAAAAGAAAAGAAAGAAAGAACAAAAGAAAAAGAAAAAAACCTGAGCGTTCGTTCCCATGTCAGGTGCTGGAATATCCGTACGAACACCAATGACGTCGTGGATCTTTTGCGTAAAAACTCGAGTGAGCCGCTCTAGCTCGTGGATGCTCAAGTCGCGGGGATTACAGCCGATTCCTCCCTTTGCACCACCGTATGGAAGCTTTGCTACCGCGGTTTTCCAAGTCATGAGCTGGGCCAGAGCATTCACTTCGTCTGGATCAACCTAAGAACAAAAATAAAAGAGCAATTACAATCACAAGAGCGAGCGTTCTTTGGTTTCTCTTTCCTGTTTACCTCTGGATGATATCGAATGCCACCCTTCATGGGGCCTCTCGAATTGTCATGCTGGACTCTAAAACCCACGAAAGATTGCAGTGTGCCATCGTCCTTGGGAATGGTACACTCAACCTGCGAATGTGATTGAGATCCAAAGGACCAAGAAAAAAAGGAAGAAAGGAAAAGACCCTGAGAAAGAGAGAAAAAAACTTGCCTTGATTTCTCGAAAAGGGATCAGGAGGCTCCTCTCCAACTTTGAATCTATTCCAAGTATCTTTACAGCTTGCCTAAAGTATCGATTTGTAGCCTCTAGTGGCCTCATCCTGTGGGAGAAGAACAGAAAAAGAGTGTAGCTAGAAAACCAAAAATCTCGATCCTCTCTCAATGCTCTCTCGATGCTCTCTCGATGCTCTCTCGATCCTCACTCACTGCTCTCTCGATAAGGACTCGTTCCTAAAGATCCGGTTAAGATTTATACGCGCACCGCACGGATAAACACGCAGCGCAAGTAACAAGTCAGCAGGAGGGAAAAAAAAGGGACTCCAAACCCCAAACGATCACCTCACATGAAAGAAATCCATAAACAAAGATAAAGTCCAACACGATCAGCGAGGAAAAAATAAAACAGGTAGAAAACAACAGCCTACCTCGCGCTTGGCCAAAACCCCACCTCCAAAGTGCGCCAAAAACGCTCCTTTCGCGCAGCTGATGATCACGAAACGCTTCTCGCTAGTGACAAAAATCTGATTAGGTTTCAACCATGTTTTTCACATTTGGACATTTCTTCGAATATACTTGAATATTGACTAAAAGGGATGCCACGTATCAGATATATTTTAGGGTTCTTCAATCTCCCTATGGTTTTCGAGAATTCCGGACGGATCTTCTCAACGAGCAGCTTGCGATTCGGGACGCATTTGCGCGCAAGAACAAGGTATGGGATCGCCAATGCCATGCATCTTCTCTCTTTGTTTCTTCGGCAGCATGATATTAGGAAGAATCCAGCGTTCCGGGCTCTATGTTTTTCCTCTACTTTTTTCTTCGGCGTCCAAATTGTAGAGATCTGCCTTGCAACTCGATTTCACAATGGAGGACTCATTGTCTCAACGAGATTTGGTCGAACTTCCCGAATCCGGGGAGCCAATCACGAGCGATGATTGTCTCAAGGCGATTGACAAGTGTTTTCATTCGGTATGTTTTTCTTCTACCTTGTGAAAAAAGTTTTGATAATCTCGTCCAGATTGTAGTCTCACTAATTGATCTCAACAAAGAAGAGACGAACTTCACGCGAGCCAATCACTCAAGATATCGAAAAAAGGAAAATATTGGACAGAAAAGCACATATGTTTTCATTCTGTTCGCCTTTTTTTTCATTGATTTGTTTCCAAATTGATAGGTTTGATTTTGCAGACATGGTCCCATGACGGATTATATAACAGTGTTTTCACCGTAGGCAAAAAGAAGCTCGTTCAACCGAGCTCAACAAAGACCACAGCCAGGTTTTAGAACTCCCAGAGGTGATTTATTGATCACACAAAAGCTTTTGAAGCTTTACAGCGGATCTTTAACGTATCCAGGTCCATGGATTTGTTCTGGTTGAAGACGTAGAACGCGCTCTATTGTGGCTCGAGTGATCGATGCTTTGGGAACATGGGATGCTCTCACTTGAACTTCTAGGAAAATAAAATACTGGTTTCCTCAAGTTCTAGCAATGCGGGAGAAATCTAAAAAGCTTTTCAAAAGTAACGAGCATTCGCTTTATATCAGTATCAATGGTGTTCACTTTGGAATCAAGGAGCTAGCAAAGATGGTGTAAACAGAAAGATAGACTTCAAATGAAAAGCCTCCTGATTTTCATGACAACTCCAGGTTTTGGTCCTGTAATCGAAAAATACCTTACGAAACACAGACGAAACCAATAAGGTGTCCTTGTAAGAACAGGCTCCAAGGCAGGAGTCGCTAATAAACCATGGTTCATACCTTCCCTCTTCAACAAAACTCATTGAGGCAGGATCCAACCTCATCACCACCAATTCGAATAATCTTGGTTTTCCAATGTCAAATGTGAGGAAATGTGAGGTTGATGACACCGGAAAGGGACCTCGAAACCAACGCCATTCTTTAATCTCAAATGCTGCCATTCATTCCATGGACCAGCTCATGTCTTCCAGGTTGAGGCACCACACCCCCCAATGCCCCCGCTGCGAATGATTTGTCCAAAACATTCTTTGCTGTACCATTAGAAAGACACTCATACAGTCAGCTTTGAAATCTTGAGAGCCGCAAGAAGCATCAAAATCCACGCACAACCAAGCGTGCCATTCGCTTCCCTCCCAGCAATCAAGCACTTTTTAACTCGAAAGCAGGGAGCACACGGCTGAGACTCGCAGCTGAAGGAGACAACGCGCCAGACTACACAATGAGGGCAGTTTTGGTGGTCGCTTTAATTTGGAGTCAAAGAGCTAGCAAAGATAGAAAGATAGACTTTGAAAACAAGGCCTTCTGGTTTTGATGACGTCCTGTAATCCAAGAATGCCTTCTGCTTCACAGCCGAAACCAACAAGTTCATTCAAGTTCATTCAAAGTTCAAGTTCAGCGTTTACATGTAAACCTAGCTATGTTAACACAGTCATTCTTGCGCATTATATGTGCAAGAGGATATTCAGAGGGTACATATGATTCAAGATCAGGGATGTGGACTAGCAAAGGCTGGTGTTTTTATTATTCGTTTGGAATGAACCATGTTTGGAATGACCAATTGTACTACTTTTGTTCGCAGCAGGGGCATTGGGGGGTGTGGTGCCTCAACCTGGAAGACATGAGCTGGTCCATGGAATGGATTGCGCCACTTAATGAGAAAGGAGAGACTTTTATTGTTGAAGAGGGATGTTTTGGACCATGGAAAAGTGGCAACTCCAAAATCCACCAGTTGATTGCAACTCTAATTAACAGCACATATGCAGTTTTGGGAGCACCTTGAAAGCTCCAGTGAGCGGATTGAAAACAACATAGTCATTTCTCCTCTTTCCAAATGCTAGTGATAACTTATATTTGGTTGGAAGAATATGGGAACTAATCCTTGTGTCCAGGAAATGGATTGACTCTGTCACCATATTGAATGACATGCAAAACATGAGGGAAATCTCATGGTTCCTAGAATGAAACTTTGCAAAACTTAGTGTATCTATTTGGTGTACACACTGCTCTATAAAAGATCCCTTTTCAAACTTTCGAATATTCTCTCTATAACAATCCCGCCTTTTTTCTTCAAGCTTTGGCTTTCTCCTTTTCTTTGGCGGCCTTCTTGTCGCGCTCCTTCAATTCATGCTGGACCCAGTTCAGCATAAACAAGTATGGATCTGCGCGTATCGATCAATAGCGCTGAGAATTATCCCGAGAACTGGGCAGGAATGGGGAGGAATTGGATGAAATTCGATGGGAAAATCTTACCGGCGGGCTGGGAAGTGAACATACAAGTGAGGAATTGGAACATCATCGTGTGCACATCGGATCTACATGTGTAATCTTCCATCGCCGCGCGCCGTGGGTTCTTGCGCTTCTCGTCTTCCATCGCGAGACAGAACCGAAATGCCTCCCCTAATTTGGACGGTGGAGATAAGGAGCTGAATGGACGGCCCACGATGAGCGGCATTGTTTTGTATAGCTCCAGATGTAGGGCTGGAGAGCTCGGAGATTGACCGCGATGTTCTCTCGGCGATCTCGAGAATTCAAGTCTGGCGAGTCGAGATTCTCCACCGGATCGGACAACGATGTCAAGATCGATGACAGCACAATCCGAGCTGTGGAGACCTCTCTCCGCGAGGCGCTCACCCTCAATAACGAGGTATGGCATTTCTTTCCTGCTCGCCGCATCGATCGATCGGACAATTAGGAAGCGAGAGCTTTGCTGGGAAGAATCGAGTTCCAGAAGGAGGATTTCCAGTCGGCTTTGCATATCCTGGAAGGGATCCAAGTCGACAATATATTTCCTCGCGTGAAGTTCTTGGTCCCGGCCAAGAACAAGCACAAGCGAGGGAAAATTCGCAGTGAGATCGTCAAACACCAGCGTCGCAGCGATGTTCCACAGCCGCTAACACTACAATCGGCAATCCTTCTTCTGGAAGGAGTCTACCTCAAAGTGATGTCTCTGGAACACCTTGGTCGATCATCAGGTATGAAAATTCTATAGCCACTTTGTTTTCTATCTTTTCTATGGACACTCTTGATGCTGTGTTCACAGGTTTTACGTTGCTTATTTCCTTGCAGACGCTGCTGAAGTGTGCAACTTCTTGGTCGAAAGTTTTGATGCAACGTTTCCTCACGGCCTTCCTGATCATCTAGCCGGCACGAAGATCCAAGAGTTTTACAACAAGGTCTTGGAGTTCTTGCCCGAGTTTTTCAAGCGAGAGGGACACTATGCCGACGCTGTGGTGTCGTATAGAAAAGCTCTACGCAGCCACTGGGAGCCCGGCTCGAAAACTCTGTGCTCCTTGCAACTTGGCTTGGCCGTGTTACTCTTATACGGTGGTTTCGAAGCGCCACCTTGCCCGAGTGGTGTCTACGAAGGAGACTTTGTTCCAAACAACAATGTGGAAGAGGCCATCTTGTTGCTGATAGATGCTGCGACGAAATCCATGGTCGCTAGGACGCCGAGGTGCCTGGAAGTTATGGAGCATCTCTGCTTTGCTCTAGCAACGTGCGGGCATTTCGAAGCATTGGCACAGCAGTACGAGAGTGTGGTTCCGGGGATTTATAGCAGAACAGAAAGGTGGTTTAGCCTTGCGCTATGCTACATGGCCGCCAGAGATAACAAGGCGGCTTTGAATCTACTTCGGAAAGCTCTCGGGGAAGTGGAGAGGCCCAACGACGTTTCTTCTCTACTGCATGCGGCATCAATCTGCTCGGGGAGTGCGAGGCTTGCTCCAGAGGGAGTGAAGTATAGCCAGAAGGCGATAGACAACGCTACAGGTGAAATGGAGTACTTGAAAGGCAAAGCTTGGCAGGTTCTCGGGATCGTTTTGAGCGTCAAGGCCAGAGCTGCTGCGTCAAATGCTGAGAGGTCTGCGATCACCAAGGAGGCTCTTTCAGCTTGGCACGAGGCTTCCAAGCTGGAGCGTGTTGATGCCAAGACGCTCTTCCACTTCGGCCTGGTTCACGCAGAAGAAGGAAATCTCAGGGTGGCCATGAAGAGCGCGAAGAAGTTTCTTGAAGTAAGCTGTGCGTCGGCAACAGGATGGAGGTTCCTCGCTCTCGTGCTGTCTGCGCAGCAGAGGTTTCGCGAGTCGGAGCTTGTGATTGATGCCGGCTTGGAAGAGGTGAACTCCTGGGAGCAAGGGGAGCTGTGGCTCAGGAAGGCGAAGTTACAGGTTGCTCAAGGCAAACACCTCGATGCACTGGAAACTTACAAGCTACTCTTGGCACTTTCGGCTGAGAAGAAGGTGACCTCTTATTCGATCTAAGTTTATGGCAGAACTAAGCGAGCTATCGTATCCATTACAGACGAGCATCCCCGAGCTGACCGTGTGGCGAGAGATGGCCGATGCCTGCATAGCTTTGTCTCAGTGGAACGATGCAAAAACTTGTTTGGAAAAGGCCAAGTTTTTGGACGTGGCTTGCGCGGGTACTTGGCATGGATACGGTAAGCACCTAGTTCGAGAAACTCCATTGATATAAACTCGCGGTTTTTTCTTTTCGAACCAGGTTTGTTCTTCATGGCTCAAAGCAAGAGCGACGAGGCACTAGCAGCATTCGACACTGCTCTCACTTGCGACCCGGAGTACGTAGAGAGCAAAGTCCAGATTGGAGCTGTGCTAAGCGGCTATGGTGGAAAGTCCCTTCCGGTGGCCAGGAGCTTCCTCAATGACGCTCTCCGGCTTGAGCCCAGGAATCCATCGGCGTGGTTCCATCTCGGGGCCGTGCACGAGATGGAAGGCCGGATGGAGCAAGCCGCCGAGTGCTTCCACACAGGTTACATCCTCGACCAGTCTCTCCCGGTGGAGAGCTTTGGAACTCTCCTGGAGATCAAGAGGGGACAATAGAGCGCTCAAACTTTTCAGGCTTTGCAACTCTCCTGGAGACCGAGAGGGGGCGATGGAACTCTCTCTGGATCAATCAATTCAAAGAACAGTGGAGAGCTTTGCAACTCTCCTGGAGATACTCAAACGATTCAAATTATAAAAAGGAATAAAATGGCGGTGTCGAGGCTTCCGAATATTCTGACACGTGGCGTGTCCATATTGGCTGGGGATCCTCGCATTGCAGTTGGCAAAATCCCACGCTAGGGCCAGTGCCGGCGCTGGAAATGGCCTCGCGGAGTTGCGCTCCAGGGATGGATTCCTCGCGAATGATTGCTGTTTCCTTGCGAAATATCGCCGATCGATGAGATTCTAGGGGCGACCGCGGGATGGGGACGCTCTCCAACGAAGATCTTGCGCGATTCATAGCTCCTTGCGGCGGCGGCGGCACCGAGCGCGAGGTGGAGGTGAGCGCCGAGAACAATGTGAGTGCTAGCTCGGAGGTTCCAGTCGGGCTGGAGCTGGACGACTCGGAGCTCCTCTTCATCGAGGAGCTAGCTGGGAACAGGGATTACTTCGACTCGGATGAATTCTTCCGGCTGGAATACGGCTCCAGCAAGTCGTGCATCGATGTCGAGGGCCGGAATTTCAAGGATATCGATCAGGTCGAGCCGGAGGACCTGGATTTTGCGTGGAAGGGCGGGAGGGATGATAGCTGCTTGGAGGACAAGGATAGGCAGCCGGCAGGATCTTCCAAGGACTCCATTCCCAGAGTTCCATTTTACAAGATGTACGCTTTTGCTGATCCTCTTGACTATCTTCTCATGGCGATTGGAACACTGGGAGCTGTGGTGCATGGGCTTGCGGTGCCCGTGTATTTCTACTTTTTTGGGAGGCTTGTGGACGCTTTCGGGGAGAACTACGCGAATCCATCCAGTATGGCATCCGAGGTTTCAACTGTAAGTGGTCTTTTTCTATCCAAACTTTTTTTTTCGTGGTGTTTGATCTTTTGTCTTCCCAGTACTCCTTGTATTTGCTCTACTTGGCGCTGGTTGTTCTAGGCGCAGCTTGGCTTGGTAAGTCTAGACAGTGCAGATTTGAGAATTTCTATGCTTCGTTTTGTACTTGTAGAGGTTTCGTGCTGGATGCACTCTGGTGAGCGGCAATCTGCCAAGATACGCATCAAGTACCTCAAGTCGATCCTCGTTCAAGATGTGGGATTTTTTGACACGGATATGTGTGTTGGCGAGATTGTGAACCAGATATCAAGTGATATACTCATCATTCAAGATGCCATCAGTGAGAAGGTTGGTCTTTATTTTTTTCTTACACTCTCCGTTTGAGCTTACGACGCAATGTTGTCAGGCTGGCAACCTTATTCACTTTCTAGCAAGATTTATAGGAGGTTTAGTTGCAGGTTTTGTGGCAGTATGGCAACTTGCACTTATTACAGTTGCTGTGGTTCCTGCAATTGCTCTTGCTGGAGGTAAAATCTATCTAAGCTGGCTTTTAGAATCTTAACTATGTTCTATAAGCAGGTGCCTATGCAGTTTCACTTATCAACACTGCTGCAAAGAGCCAGAAAGCTAATGAAGAAGCTGGAAAGATTGCAGAACAGGTATGACAACATGAATCAAGTCTAAAAGCCTCTAATTTAAGAACTTTCGCGTCCATAGGGGCTGAAAGGGCTTACAGGTCGATGGCTTGCCAGGTCATTGCTCAAGTGAGGACTGTTTATTCTTTTGGAGGAGAAGCAAGGGCCGCTAAGGCTTATTCAGACGCCTTGCAGCCAACCTTGAGGCTTGGGAAGCGAGCAGGCCTTGTTAAGGGCCTTGGAATTGGAGTAACTTACGGGCTTGTTTTATGTGCCTGGGCTCTGCTGCTATGGTACGCCGGCGTTCTTATTCGGCATGGAATGTCTGATGCTGGAAAGGCTTTTACGACTATTCTCAACATAGTTGTTAGTGGTTTGTAAGTAATGCTTCATTTCCTCGTAACGTTTTTTCTCACTGATATTTGGCAGTTCTCTCGGACAAGCGTTCTCCAACTTTCCTGCTCTTGCGGAAGGTCGGGCAGCAGCTTCCAACATAATACAAATGGTGAAAAGAAGGCCGGCCATGCTTCATAATCAAGGCGGACGACTTGAAGAAGTTTATGGGGACATTGAGCTGCGAAATATTTGCTTTAGCTATCCTTCCCGACCAGAGTCTTTGGTTCTGAAAGACTTTTCTTTGATGGTGCCTGCTGGAAAGACAATTGCGATTATCGGTAGCAGTGGCTCTGGCAAAAGTACCGTGGTTTCTCTCATCGAACGTTTCTATGACCCGCTTTCCGGTACAGTACATAAATTTATCGTATTGTGTTGCGAGCTGAAATTTGAAATGATTTGTTTAAGGTGACGTTCTTTTGGATGGAACAAACATAAAATATTTGGAGCTTCAGTGGTTGAGAAAACAGATTGGTCTTGTAAGTCAGGAGCCGATATTGTTTGCAACCACTATTCGAGAAAATCTGCTCTACAGCAAAGAAGATGCAACCATGGAGGAGTTAATAGAAGTCTCTAAAGCTTCAAACGCACACGAATTTATTGATCTCTTTCCTGAAGGCTACGAAACTCAGGTTGGTCATTTGGATTTCCTACACGCCAAGGGCTGAACTTGTTTACAGGTTGGTGAACGAGGTGTGCAACTTTCTGGCGGAGAAAAACAAAGGGTGGCACTGGCAAGAGCGATGCTCAAGAATCCAAAGATACTTCTTCTGGATGAGGCTACAAGTGCACTGGATACAGGTTCGCAGCAGCTGGTTCAGGATGCACTTGATCGATTTAGAGTCGGCCGAACAACAGTGGTGATCGCTCACCAGCTTTCAACTATCAGGCATGCAGATAGTATTGCGGTTGTTCATCACGGAAGAATCGTTGAAATGGGAACGCATGAAGAGCTATTAGCTAAAGGGGAGAAAGGTGCTTATGCTGCGCTCTCAAAGCTGCAGGATACTGGTCTATTCCTAGTTCAAATGGCCGAAAACATGGCTACTATCGCTACGAGAAAGTCTGGGTAAGGACGTCCGTATTCAGTTTTTCAAAAAGGACTTGGTTTGTATGCAGACTATCGGACGAGTTTTCTTCCGAAGAAAGCTGTTTTGACCTGGACCTTGGCGCAAATCAGGCTGTTGAAGAACCGGAAGGGCCACGTCCGCCCAGACCCTCGATCTGGAGGCTAATGCAACTCAACAAACCGGAATGGCCATATGCTTTACTCGGTACTATTGGAGCAATCATATCCGGATGCGAGTTTCCTTTGTTTGCCTTGGCCATCACGCAAGTTTTGATTACGTTCTACAGTCCTGACAAGGAATTCCTCAAGAAAGAAGTCAGCAAGTTCTCGCTCATATTAACCGGTTCCACCATCTGTGTTGTTTTCAGCCACATGCTCCAGCACTATTCGTTTGGAGCCATGGGTGAAAGTCTGACGAAGCGAGTGCGAGAAATGATGTTCCTAGGTACATAAACTCACTCTCATCCATGGCTGGTAATGGAAGGTAAGATTGAGTTTAACAGTGCATTTTATTCATTCTCTTGTCACAGTGGACTAACTTTTGACATTTCAGGTATTCTCAACAATGAAATATCCTGGTTTGACGAGGAAGATAACAGATGTGGACTAGTAGCTTCTCGCCTGGCATCTGATGCGACAATGGTCCGAGTCGTCATCGCTGACCGCATGTCCACTATTGTTCAAAATCTCGCCTTGATGTTCGTGGCTTTCTTCATTGCATACGTTCTGGAATGGCGCGTGGCTGTTGTCATTACAGCGACGTTCCCACTGTTGCTCATAGCGTTGGTTGGCGAGGTACGAAGCTCCTGAATTTTGACGCATAGCTATGTATCTATATTCACACTTAGCTCTTGACTTACAGCAAATGTTTCTAAAAGGCTTCAGTGGAGACCTCTCAAAAGCATACTCGAGAGCCAGTACGGTGGCGAGCGAGGCCGTCGGAAACATTCGCACAGTTGCTGCCTTTTGCTCCGAAAAGAAAGTCATCGATTCTTTTGTTCGAGAGCTCCAGGTACCGAAGCGGAAGGTCTTCCTCAGAGGTCATGTAGCGGGTGTTTGCTACGGCATCTCTCAGTTCTTCCTTTACACCTCGTACGCGCTGGGATTGTGGTACAGCTCCGTGCTGATCAAGAAAGGCGTGACAGGTTTTGCGAACGCTATCAAGACGTTCATGGTGATTATAATCACTGCATTCGGGGTTGCTGAGACTCTGGCCACAGCTCCAGATTTGATCAAAGGCAGCCAGGCATTATACGCAGTTTTCGAGATCATGGATCGTAAGGGCCAGATAAATCCAAACACGCGAGCCATGGAGATCAGCAACGTGAAAGGCGATGTAGACTTTAGGCACGTCGAGTTCAGCTATCCAGCCCGCAAAGACGTGGTTATTTTCCGGGACTTGAGCTTGAGGATCAGAGCCGGCAAGAGTTTGGCCTTGGTTGGAGCTAGCGGCTCAGGCAAGAGCTCCGTGGTGGCTCTCATCCAGAGGTTTTACGACCCGGTATCCGGCTACATCATGATAGACGGCAAGAACATCAGGAGCCTCAACCTTCAGTCTCTTCGCAGGCACATCGGCTTAGTCCAGCAGGAGCCGGCTCTCTTTTCATGCAGCATTTACGAGAACATCCTCTATGGCAAAGAGGGAGCCTCCGAGGCCGAGATCGTGCAGGCAGCAAAGACGGCCAATGCTCACGGCTTTATCAGCAGCTTACCAAACGGCTACCAGACACAAGTCGGCGAGCGAGGCGTCCAGCTCTCGGGTGGCCAGAAGCAGCGAGTCGCCATTGCTCGAGCGGTTCTCAAGTGTCCCGCGATCCTCCTCCTGGACGAGGCGACGAGTGCGCTGGATGCACACTCCGAGAAGCAGGTCCAGGAGGCGCTGGACCGAGTGATGCGAGGCAGGACGACGCTCATCGTCGCGCACCGATTCTCGGCCATCCGGAACGCGGACATCATCGCGGTCGTGCAGGACGGCACGGTGGTGGAACAAGGCAGCCCCAAGGAGCTCCTCAGCAACAGGAACAGTGCTTACTTCCAGCTCGTCAAACTCCATGCCCGCCACCGCACGAGCAAGCTGGAAATCTTGTAAATCAAAACTCTGGTACGTCCCCTCGCTCTCTTTCTCTCTTTTTCTAACGCTACTTTTGTAGGAGCAGCAACACCTCGTCGTTACATTGGCTTGCATTTCATTTTGATATGAAGAGGAGAATCATCGCGAATCAATCAGACGAAGCCGAAAGAAGGTATGGAGTTTTTGCTCCTCATCTATCTCAGAGAAGTTGGATTCTTACGAACGAAACTACGCACAGTTTGGACAGCATTCTATCAAAGTTTTTAACTTCTTTTGGGCAAAACGAAAGCTTGTGCTCCTATTTAGAAGGTATGTCTTTGCGATTTTCATGTTTTGAGGAGCCGGAAGTTTGTCTACTGAGCTCGAGACATCTGGCCTCACCGGATTCCAACTTCCAAGCTCGCGCAAACTCCCTGTGACCCGCTACTCGTGTTTCTCGCGCGGCCCATCCAACTCTCCAGCTATATAAGACCGACGCGACGAGCCGGAGCTATCCATCGAAAGCCCATCCGCACAGAAGAAGCTCCTCCACAGCTCTTTCCAGAGTTCTAAACCATGGAGAAATCCATGGCTGTGACGTGCATCGCGCTCCTCCTGCTGGCCACCATCGCCCTCTACTGCGACGCCGCCGGCCCCCCGGCCCCCGCCAGTGACACTCTCTTCACCAACAAGCAGCTCCGCTCCAACGAGGAGCTGCGATCCAACAACAGCTTCTTCGTCTTCAAGGTCCAGAGCGATTGCAACATGGTGCTGACGCGGGTCTCGGATTCCAGCGTGCTGTGGTCGTCCGGGACGGGCGGAAAGGCGGCCGGGTGCTGGGTGACGATGCAAGGCGATGGGAATTTGGTGCTCTACTCCAACCAGAACAACGCCGTGTGGATGAGCAAGACGGCGCGCAAGGAGGATCTCTACACGCTGATGGTGCAGGACGATGGGAATGCCGTGATCTACACCGCCTCCCACGTCGCGATTTGGTCCACCAGTTACGATTGATTGATCTGATTGAGTCGATGGTTGCTTCTTTTCTACTGAAATAAACTATATGCCAATTTGTTCTATGATCATTCAATATCTTTCTTGCTTTGCTTTGCTTTGCTTCTTTCCTAATGAAATAAACTACCGTAAAAGATATTTCTTGTGATCATGTAAAAAGATAAGATCCCCACTTTGTATGAACTTTACCACACCAAAAGCCTGAAATACAAGAATGTTGACAAAAAGAGTCTTATTTCCAAACGCTCCCAGCGATGGGAGGTTTGGGGACAGAGACGTGTTTCTCCGGAACAGGGAGATCGAGATGCATGGCAAGAATGGAGATTTGGCTGCGGCAGTAGAGGTCTTTGAAGTTCTAGCTTCTCGGAGGGATGTTTACTCGTGGGTGTTTATTCTGGTTGCGTTTACTCGGAACTGCCGGTTGATGCAGGCAAGACGATGTTTTGAATCCATGCCGCAAAAGAATCTTGTTGCGTGGAATGTGATGTTGTCAGCATATGCCAAAACGGGGCATCTGCTGCAAGCGAAAGCGCTCTTTTGCGAGATGCCTTTCTGGGATTTGGTGTCTTGGGATTCAATGCTTTTGGCGTTTTGTCGTGCGGGTTTGCTAGATGATGCGAGAGGATTTTTTGCGAGAATGCCAGAGTGGGACTGCGTTGCGTGGAATCTGTTGCTGAATGCGTATGCCCAACTTGGGCATATAGATGAAGCTGCATTCTTCTTCAGTGGTATGCCGGAACGAAGTTTGGTTTCGTGCACGGCAATGGTTCATGCTTATGTCCAAAACGGGGATTTAGAAAGTTCCAAGCTTGCGTTTGATTCCTCTCGTGAACACGACCTTGTGTTGTGCTCTACGATGATCTCAGCGTTGTCTTCCAAAGGAGACCTAGCAGGAGCAAAATGGGTGTTTGATTCCATGAAAGAGAGGGATGTGGTCGCATATACCGCACTGCTTACTGCATATTCGCATTCTGGGGATCTCCCCAAGGCCCAGGAGACCTTTGACGCCATGAAAGAGCACAATGTAGCTGCATGGAATGCCTTGCTTGCGGCATATGCCCGAAACGGGAATCTTCCGGGAGCTAGACGAATCTTTGACGAGATGCCCCACAGGGATCTCCAGACCTGGGTTTCTATGCTCTCGTTTTACTCTCGAGCCGGTGAGATAGAAAACGCAAAGCTCGTGTTTGATTCCATGCAAAGCTGGGACCAAATCTCATGCAACTCGATGCTCGCGGCATATGCCAAGTATGGGGATATTCGAGATGCCGAGAATCTCTACTGCTCGATTCCCACCCACGATACCGCCACCTTGAACTCCATGCTCGCGGCCTACTTGCACAGGGGCTGCTTCACAGAGGTCAAGAGGCTCTTTAACACCGCCCAAGAGAGGAATCTTATCACCTGGAACATAGCTCTGGGGGCATATTCCAGCACTGGGAATCTTGCCCGGGCCAGGACCATTTTCAGTCGCATGCCGTACCACGACATGGCCGCGTGGAATGCCATGGTGGGGGCATATGCACAGAACGGTCCGTACAAGAAAATGCTTGAATTCTTCCATTTGTTGAACCTGATGGGTGAAGTTCCAGGTGAGCTCGTGTTTGCCCTCTTGTTTCTGGCATCAAGTCATGCGGGAGCAATCATTGATCGATCAGGGTGGAGCACTCTTTTGGGAGATTTCGGTGTCAATCTAACCAAGCAGCATTTCTCATGTGTGATTGATCTTCTTGGGCGATGTGGATACTTGAAAGATGCCAGGGATCTGGTTACAAATATGCCATATGAGCCTGAGGTGTTGGATCAAGCTTGTTTGATCAGTAGCTCACCTCGCTAAAGTATTATTTTTTATAGCCATAACTTAAATATAAAATTCTGTAACTTTATTTTGTGAGTGCATGGAATTTTTGGACCTCACAATATTAATATATTATTAAATTATCATTTGATTTATAAAGAATCCAACAGTGTAAGCACCAAAATCTCAACAGCATATAATGCCATGCCCACACCAGCTACCAAAAATTAGATGTGAAGCTCTACCAAAAATTTAGTATTTGCTTAAATAAATAATTATAGCTACTCATTTTTAAACGCAGTTTAAAAATATAATAAAAATTGGAGTAACTAAATTTTAACCTAATAATTCTCTGAAATGGGAAATTAAAGACTGGAAAAGGAAATATATGCTAGAATAAGGGGGTTTAAAGTTACATGCGGAGGCCCATGTTTTAGGGCTTAGGGTGCCCAAAGATTTCTTCCTTCTTCTTGATCGCGGACTTGGATCGATCGCGAGCTCTTCCAGCGATGGCGAGGGATCATCACCAGCAGCAGCACGGGCAGCAGCAGCTCGAGGTCCTCTCGGCGCTGGACAAGGCCAAGACGCAATGGTACCACTTCACCGCCATCGTGATCGCGGGCATGGGCTTCTTCACGGATGCTTACGATCTCTTTTGCATCTCCACCGTCACCAAGCTCCTGGGGAGGATCTACTACTACGATCCAGCGTCTGGCAAGCCCGGATCGCTCCCCCCAAACGTCTCGGCGGCCGTGAATGGAGTGGCGCTGTGCGGGACGCTCGCCGGGCAGCTCTTCTTCGGCTGGCTGGGCGATCGATTCGGGCGCAAGAAGGTCTATGGCATGACGCTCATGCTCATGGTCATGGCCTCGGTCGCCTCGGGGCTCTCTTTCGGCCACACTGCCAAGAGCGTGATGACCACGCTGTGCTTCTTCCGGTTCTGGCTTGGATTTGGCATCGGTGGCGACTATCCTCTCTCGGCCACGATCATGTCCGAGTATGCCAACACCAAGACTCGCGGAGGATTCATCGCGGCGGTGTTTGCCATGCAAGGATTCGGGATCCTCGCCGGTGGCGCGGTGGCGATCTTCGTGGCGCTGGGATTCAAGACGGCGTATCCTCGCGAAGCGTTTGAGCTCGATCCGGCTGGATCCACTCCACCAGAGGCGGACTTCGTGTGGAGGATCATCTTCATGCTTGGAGCTCTCCCGGCGGCGCTCACGTACTACTGGCGGATGAAGATGCCCGAGACCGCGCGCTACACCGCGCTGGTGGAGGGGAACCTCAAGCAGGCGACGCAGGACATGAGCAAAGTTCTCGCGGTGGAGATCACGGAGGAGAACTCCGCCGCCAAGGCCGCCGCGATCCAGAGCCAGCACAGGAACAAGTACACGCTCTTCTCGGCGGAGTTTCTTCGCCGCCATGGCTTGCATCTCCTCGGCACCACCTCCACTTGGTTCCTCCTCGACGTCGCCTTCTACAGCCAGAACCTCTTCCAAAAGGACGTTTTCACCGCGGTGGGATGGCTCCCAAGCGCCAAGAAGATGAGCGCGCTGGACGAAGTCTACCGGATCTCGCGAGCGCAGTGCCTGATCGCGCTGTGCTCCACGGTGCCGGGTTACTGGTTCACGGTGTTCCTCATCGACCGGATCGGGCGATTCACCATCCAGCTCATGGGCTTCTTCTTCATGACGGCTTTCATGCTCGGGCTGGCCATCCCTTACAACGCTCTCCGCGATGGCAGCCATATGACGTTCATCGTGCTCTACTCGCTTACGTTCTTCTTCGCCAACTTTGGGCCGAATTCCACCACCTTCATCGTCCCCGCGGAGGTGTTCCCGGCGCGGTTTCGATCGACTTGTCACGGGATCTCGGCGGCGGCTGGGAAGGCCGGGGCGATTGTCGGAGCTTTCGGGTTCCTCTATGCCGCGCAGAGCCCGGACAGGGAGAAGACCGATGCCGGGTACCCGACTGGAGTGGGGATCCGGACGGCGCTGCTCATGCTCGCGGTTTGCAATGGTCTGGGCTTCTTCTTCACGCTGCTTGTTCCGGAGACTAAAGGGCGGTCGCTGGAGGAGATCTCTGGCGAGAATGGTGGCGAGGGTGGTGATCATCCCAGGCCGATCCTGCCAGTGTAAGTCCCCCCTTTTTCGTTTTCGCTTTTTTGAAAGATCTGGAGCTCTCTCCCCTTCTCGGTTCTAGTTTCGGGCAAAGCTGCCTCTCTCGGGCGAGAGTTTGAGCTCTTGCTCTTCGTTTCGAATAAAAAAAAAAAAAAAGGCAAAAAGAAAAGTATTTTAGTTCGAAGGTTTCTTCTTTCTTCCAAGTTCTTCACAAGTTTTTTACTTTTTCTTCCAATATTCTTACTCTCAAAGTTCTTCCAAGTGTCCTAATCTTTCTTCGAAGTTTGGTACTCTCCGAGTTCTTACAAGTGTTAACTTTTTCTTCCAAGTTGTCTTACTTCCAAGTTCTTCCAATTCAAGACAACCTCAACATAACTAACAAAGCTCCACTATGTCCATTCTCCTTACGTGATTCTTACGAAATATGACAAGATTATATCCTGTAGCTCTTGACAAAACTTTAGCTTCGAATAGTGTGATCATCATATTTTCGAGCACCACAAACCTTGTGCCGCACACATCTTTTACTCGTCATTTTTCTATTCGTTCTATGATTTAAAAAGAGGATCCATTAGCCTCGACTTTTCATCACGGTTGTCTAGAACGCACGATGTTGTTGACTTTACCTTTTATTAGTGTATAATAATATTTGTATAATCAAATGAGACGCGGCGACGCGCCACACGAATAAATTAATTTTCCACAAGCAAAAAGCTGGCGATAGAGAGAATAATCTTATATAAGATATGACAAAACTTTTAGCCTAGTGGCTCACGGAAATTGCAAGGTTTTCAAATTATAAATGACAACATTGACGTGATCATCATATCCTCGAGCACCGCTTGCACCAAACTTGCCATGGAAAAGATTTTTTTTGCCCCCATTCTTGATTTCTTTAATGTTTTCTATGATTCTTTAGCAGGATTCACTTCCACTTGATTAAAACTTTTCATCGCAGTTTTCTAGAATGCATGACCAAACTTTAATTATCTTCTAGATGACAATATACAATATAATATAATGACAATTTATCGATACGACATCTAATATTCTTTCACTATAGGTGACAATATAATGATAAAATTTAGCATGAAAAATCAAATGTTCTCTCTTGTGTTAAGAGCATGCTTATTGACAAGAAACACTGAAGATATACAAGTATATATCTGCTCAACTTGGCTTGTAAGAAAAACTTCCTTCCTCGCTTGCTTCTCTCAGCGATGATCATGAACTTAGACTTGTTGGATCGATGGGGGAGTAGGCGCGGGGGCAGCGACCATCTCCTCCTCGTTCTCCCCGGACAAGTCCTCGAGCGACCGCCCCTTGGTCTCTGGAACCAGGAACGTAAAGATGAGCCCGAGAGCGTTGCATCCTCCGAGCAACAGCAAAGCCGTCCTGATCCCCACTCCCGGCGGATACCCGGCCTCGGTATCGGCCTTGTGAGTGCTCTGCGACGCGTAGAGGAACCCGAAAGATCCAACGATGGCTCCGGCCTTTCCAGCCGCGGCCGAGATCCCGTGACAAGTCGATCGCAGCCGAGCCGGGAAGAGCTCCGCGGGGACGATGAAAGTGGTGGCGTTTGGCCCGAAGTTTGCGAAGAAGAAGGTGAGCGAGTAGAGCACGATGAACGTCATATGGTGGCCGCCGCAGTAGCCATCTGGGCACTTGTCCCCGCGGAGATTGTTGTAAGGGATGGCGAGCGCGAACATGAACACCGTCATGAAGAAGAAGCCCATGATTTGGATGGTGAAGCGTCCCATCCTGTCGATGAGAGCCACCGTGAACCAGTACCCGGGAACAGTGGAGCACAGCGCGATCAGTGTCTGCGCTCGCGAGATCTTGTAGACTTCGTCCAGCGCGCTCATCGTCTTGCCGTTTTTGAGCCATCCCACCGCGGTGAAAACGTCCTTCTGGAAGAGGTTCTGGCTGTAGAAGGCGATGTCGAGGAAGAACCATGTCGTCGTGGTTCCCAGGAGCTGGAGGCCGTGTCGCCTCGCAAACGCTCCCGTGAAGAGGCCATACTTGTTGGTGGCGCCTTGGATCTTGGCAGCCTCGGCCCCGACTTCCAACTCGAGAACTTTGCTCATGTCCTTGGCAGCCTGCTTGAGATTCCCTTCCACCAGCGCGGTGTAGCGAGCGGTCTCGGGCATCTTCATCCGCGAGTAGAACGTCGCGGCGGCGGGGAGAGCCCCGAACATGAAGATGAGCCGCCACACGAAGTCCGCCTCGGGTGGCGTCGACGCTACCGGATTCACGGAAAAGATTGGGGCCGGGAAGGCCTTTCGAAAAGCCGCGGCGACGATGAGTGACACTGTTCCACCCGCGAGGATCCCGAATCCTTGCATGGCAAACACCGCCGCGATGAAAGATCCCCGGGTTTTGGTGTTGGCATACTCGGACATGATCGTGGCCGAGAGAGGATAGTCGCCACCGATGCCAAATCCGAGCCAGAACCGGAAGAAGCACAGCGTGGTCATCACCGACTTGGCAGTGTGGCCGAAGGAGAGCCCCGAGGCGATCGAGCAGATGACCATAAGCAGCAGCGTGATCCCATAGACTTTCTTTCGTCCCATCTTGTCACCGAGCCAGCCGAAGAAGAGCTGACCGGCGAGCGTCCCGCAGAAGGCCACACCCGTCACGGCCGCCGCTACGTTTGGAGGGAGTGATCCGGGCTTGCCCGAGGCTGGATCGAAGTAGTAGATCCTTCCCAGGAGCTTGGTGACGGTGGAGATGCAAAACAGATCGTAGGCGTCGGTGAAGAAGCCCATCCCCGCGATGAGAATGGCCGTGAAGTGGTACCACTGCGTCTTGGCCTTGTCCAAGGCGGACAGCACCTCGAGCGCCATGGCGTGATCCTTCTCTCCTCCAAGAGATTTGGATGATCCTAGCGCTCGATAACACGAGCTTTCGCGATCGATTCCCTGTCCAAAACAAGCAACAGTGAGATTTCTCTAAGAGAATCCTCTCTCTCGGCTTGATCCAAAGCATGCGAATTCGGTGAGAAGGACGGGGATGGAATGCATGCTCGCCAGGAATGCCAAGAAAGCTTTGCTCGAATAGAAGATTCCAAAGAAACCAGGCTCAAACAATCGAACAAGGCAGCAAATCCTCGCGCAGGAGCCGCGCACGGCATCCGTGAGGGAATGTGGATGAAAGAAACTTGCCTGGATCGATCGATCGCTCGATCTTTGGAGCGCGTCCACTGCTAGAGCCCTAATCCCGCCCACACTTTTAAAGTCGCAGTCCGGCCGTCAAACTCACAGAAGAGACGTACATTCCCTCTAAAATGCGAATATTCGAGGGGTTGACCCGCGATAAAAGCCCTAAAATATTACGCCCGATCTGTCCGTATCAAGGCCGTTGAATTTGCACTTTACCAACTGGCGCGAAAATCCAGCGAACGGATATTTGCGCTTTTAGGGCTCTTCAATTTCTAGGGTTCTTCGCGAAGAGAGGGAAGGAGGATGAGGGAGATCGTGCACATCCAGGCTGGGCAATGCGGGAACCAGATTGGTGCCAAGTTCTGGGGGGTGGCCTGCGACGAGCACGGCATCGATCCGACGGGGACGTATCACGGCGACTCGGATTTGCAGCTAGAGCGGATTAATGTGTATTTCACCGAGGCGACGGGCGGGAGGTATGTTCCCAGGGCGATTCTCATGGATCTGGAGCCAGGGACGATGGATAGCGTGAGATCGGGGCCCTATGGTCGGATATTTCGGCCGGATAATTTCGTGTTTGGCCAGACCGGGGCCGGGAACAATTGGGCAAAGGGACACTACACGGAAGGCGCGGAATTGATCGATTCTGTGCTGGATGTGGTGAGAAAGGAGGCGGAGGCTTGCGATTGTATGCAAGGTATGGAGTAGAGGACGATAAAAAAGAGGCTTTTCGTTCGTCCTTGGGTGTCCGAATTCTTCATCGGCTAGTCGGGCAACACAGCATGAATGGTTTCAAGTCAGAATCACAGGTGGAACTTCCTTTCCCTGCTAAAGAATTTCTTCGTTCTTCTTCCCTTGTCAATCTCTTCCAAACGTTTCTCTAACTCTGTGATTTTTTTCTCCAGGCTTTCAAATCTCTCACTCGCTGGGAGGTGGCACGGGTTCTGGGATGGGAACTCTTCTCATATCAAAGATTCGAGAGGAGTACCCTGACAAAATGATGCTTACGTTCTCGGTGTTTCCGTCGCCGAAGGTGTCGGACACGGTGGTGGAGCCTTACAACGCAACGCTCTCCGTCCATCAGCTAGTGGAGAATGCCGACGAGTGCATGGTGTTGGACAACGAGGCTCTCTACGACATTTGTTTCAGAACGCTCAAGCTCATAACACCGACATGTAAGACTATTTCTTTCTTGTCCCTTGGACTATTTCTTGCTTGTCTCTTGTCTAAAATTTTTTTTTTTTTCAATTTCCAGTTGGCGATTTGAATCACCTCATCTCGGCAACAATCAGCGGCATAACTTGCTGCCTCAGATTCCCTGGCCAACTAAACTCCGATCTACGGAAACTGGCCGTCAATCTCGTCCCATTCCCGCGGCTCACGTTCTTCATGGTCGGGTTCGCTCCACTCACATCAAGAGGCTCGCAACTCTACCGGGCACTCACGGTCCCGGAGCTGACACAGCAGATGTTCGACGCCAAAAACATGATGTGCGCGGCCGATCCCCGCCACGGCAAGTACCTCACAGCCTCAGCAATGTACAGAGGCCGGATGAGCACCAAGGAGGTGGACGCGCAGCTCCTCAACGTCCAGACGAAGAACTCCTCCTACTTCGTGGAGTGGATCCCAAACAACGTCAAGACGACCGTGTGTGACATCCCGCCCAAGGGGATGAAGATGGCGTCGACGTTCATCGGGAACTCAACTGCGATCCAGGAGATGTTCAAGCGTGTTGGAGACCAGTTCACGGTGATGTTCCGGAGGAAAGCGTTCCTCCACTGGTACACCGGCGAGGGGATGGACGAGCTGGAGTTCACCGAGGCCGAGAGCAACATGAACGATCTGGTGTCCGAGTACCAGCAGTATCAAGACGCGAGACCCGATGATGAGGGCGACTATGGGAAGGAAGAGGAGCAAGAGGGCGAGTACTCGCAACTGTCGTAGAACAGATAGAGAGAGAATCTCTTACTTTGTGTGTTTCGATTGGGTCGCGCAAGCGACCATCTTCGAGTAAACCCAATGAAATCCTTTGCTCCCAGAAGTTTTGAATTTTAAAAGCAGAATATTCGGGTTTTGGCGGGTGATTTGAAAGCGGCATATTCTGTTTTGGTGCTCTTAGGGCTTTTGAGCTTAAAAGCCCTAAAGTTTTTGAGTGTGGGAAAAGAAACGATGGAGGGAGATCCCGCGAGCGCGCCCAGGGTAAAGGAGCTCCTCCACGATCTGGTGAGCATCTGCCGCTCCTCTTCCGATGCTGCGTCGGTGCCGCTGCTCACGGATCACGTAATCTCGGATTCCGGCGAGCTCTTGCCGTCTCTCCAGAAGCTCTCGGGGCAGATTGTGCCGATGGTAAGCTACATTGTGGGTTTTGTGCTTAGTTCCTTGGTTTCCCTTTGTCCCGCGCAGATCCAGCTCTATCAGGAGAAGAGGCAGCTCCTTGCAGCCTCTCCATTTCCTCAAAAACTTATTGAGAAAATCGAGCAACTCAAGGACGGCGGGTATGGCAAGCTACATTGTTGCTATTTTCGTTTTGTTCTCCTTTCATACTTTTGTTTCGTTCTCATTTCATCCTTTCTTTCCTGGCGTTTAAGCGGTATTTTTCTCTTTTGTTTGTGTTTCTTCAGGGCTCATGGACTTGATCGTTACCTTTGGCTGGTGAGCCAAATTCTGGCCGACCCCGACTTAAAGAAACTGGTATCGTTGGATCGTGCTACTGGGGAAAGACACAGGCCTTCTCTTGGAGACTTTGAGGTGAGTTTCGTTCTCTCTCTCTCTCTCTCTCTCTCTGTGTATTTTTTTCATAGTTTTTTTTATTTTGGAGAAAGAGCTTAATCGTCCTATTGCTTTTGTTAGTCGCCAGCACCGACTCTACCAAGTGTGGAACAGCGTATAACACGCAGCGGCAGAGAAAATCGGGATGCCTCTGTTACGGCAAATGGAGTTGCGAAGAGTCTTAAGAATCTTTCCATTCCTGATTCAACGCAAACTCAGCCAACAAAGCCATCGAGTAAGTCGATTTTTTCTTCTTTTTTCGCTCATTTAATCATTTATTAAACAGAACATGTGAAAAAAGCAAAGCCCCTGATCGAGGGAGTGTCGTTCCCCGCAACTCCACGCTGGAACATAGACAGGCCATATCTGACTGGTCAGTTTGTTTACGAGGTAAGCAGGCTGTTAATTCTCAAAGACATGCTTAATAGGCTTCTTTTCTCTTGCAGGAGGAAGTTGTAGAGTATTCCAAAAGCCTGATCAAAGGTATCATCACGGAACGAGATGCTTTAAGGTTTGTTTGGTGATCAATGACTAACATGTATATAAAGTTTGATTTTATTTGTAGCAACGATGGTGACCGGGCTATAGGCCTATTTGCACCTTCTGTGCAGGTACATTGTCTTCTTTTTAAAATAACGAGAACTAACGAGGCTTTCAGGAGCTACTTGTGATTGATGATCTGCTCTTTGCAATGGTTGGCATCGAGGGAAAGAGTATTCGCATTACAAGAGAAAAATCAAGAGACAAGGCTCTAACTTTTCAAGTTGATCCCTCAATGGACTTGTCAATACAGGTGTTTGTTTGTATGTAGTCCTTTACACTAAATCTCTTTTTCTTTTCTGTATTCAGGAGCTGACAAAGAGAGTTTTACCTCTCTGTGAAAACTACATGGTAGTCAGCCAATTCAACGAATCAAGGCTGCAATTTAAATACGGGCTGGTGAATCACGCGTTTGCTGCAGCTTTGAGAGCAATCTTGCAGGTTTAGGATGATAGCTTATATTGCTTATGTTTGAGCTTTTGTACAGGACTATCACGCCATGGTAGCACAATTGGAGCACCAGTTTAGACTCGCCAGACTTTCGCTTCAAGGTTTATGGTTCTTTTGCCAGGTAATATATTCTTTTGTCTTTGCGTTTGATGGGCCGTAAACTTTTTTAATAGCCTATGATGGGCGCAATGCAAGCTTTGGCCGTTGTTGTGAGAAAGGCATTTGTAAAGAGCCTTTCAGGAGCTGCCGTATTAAATCTGCTTCAAGGCCAGGTGCTTGCTATGAGCTTGGCTGAAAATCTTCCTGATATGTCTATATTCACAGGCAGCCGCAATTGCTGGAGATAATGCTGCCAGAACATTGCTGCAGAAACTCACTCAAGCTGCAAGTGCCCCGTATTTTGGAATATTGGAGAGGTAAGTGATACCGGTTTTCTAGGCCTGTATGTGATAGCTTTTCTAGGTGGATACACGAGGGAGTCATTGACGATCCTTATGGAGAATTTTTTATCGACGAGAACAAGGCGCTGCAGAAGGTTGTTCCATGTTGTACTGGTCAAGCACGCGTTTCCAACAATATCGTTGCAGGAAAGCCTTAGCCACGACTTCAATGCCACGTACTGGCAACAGCGATACAGCTTGAAAAATGACGTTCCTGGTTTTCTTGCATCCGCGGCTGAAAATATATTGACGACGGGCAAGTACCTTGATGCGATTCGGGAATGCGGTCAAAATGTTCGGGTATGGACCTTGTAATCAAGATGGATTCGACGTTTTTTAATGCAGATACCTTTCTCTGAGGATGCTAAACTCACGAACTCTGGATCGAAGCGGCATTACCTGGATAAAATAAACGTTGCATACAATTTCGCGAGTGCTGAGCTCTTGAGTTTGATTGTGCGAAAGGTGAGTTTTCAGCGCAGGTAAATTATGGACTATAACCTGTCTCTGTGTTCTATGCAGTTTGATCTCATGGGAAGGCTGCGGTCAGTGAAGCATTACTTTCTTTTGGATCAGGTAGCTCTTTAGTTTTTGCGATCAATATGGACGTTCCTGACCTCCTGACCTTGCAGGGTGATTTCCTTGTCCACTTTATGGATATTGCAAAAGAGGAGCTTGCAAAACGACCTGTTGCGCTGTCGTTGGAAAAACTGCAGGTTTGTTCTTTTTATCTCGAAGATCTCATTTCAGCTTCTTGTTCTGCAGTCACTTTTGGAGCTTGCACTGAGAACCTCCGTTGCTGCGAGCGATCCGTACCATGAGGATCTTACGTGCAGTCTGGTGTGGAATTCTACGTCTTTGCAAGTCCTGTCTAATCTGTTTATATATCTTTCCAGGAAAGATCGTCGTTGATGGTGCAGTTACGAAGTTTTATGAAGAACGGAATTTTGAAGATCGATTCTCCTTTAGAATCCAACTCAGAGCCCGGCAGCATGACTGGTTTGGAGACCTTCACTCTTGACTATAAGGTACAAGGTATAATAAGTTTCCTTTGTCACTAAAGCCGTCTGTAGACGCGGTGGCCATTATCCCTCGTGATTTCAAGGAAGGCTCTCACAAAGTACCAGCTAATTTTTCGTCATCTCTTTCATTGTAAACATGTAGAAAGGCAACTCTCTGGCACCTGGCAAGCCCATCAGGTATGACAAGTATTAAGCAACAATTCGTATTGTTAACCTTCGTTTGCAGGCGACTCGTGGCCTTGACTTTGTTGGACATTCAATATCAAGATCGTACGTACTTTGCCAACAAATGCTGCATTTTATGCAGAGCTTCGAACATTATATGACATTCGAGGTTTCAATCGTAAGCTTTCTGTGTTGAATCTTAGTCCTTTTGCAGGTGCTAGAGCCCAACTGGCATGTCATGGACACTAAACTCCAGAGTGCTAAGAGTATTGACGAGGTTCGCCGTTTCCTTTCCTCTGATTATTTTACACATACCCACTGCTTTCAGGTCATTCAACTACACGACTTTTTTCTAGACAAGTGTTTGAAAGAGTGCATTTTGTTATGGCCTCACATATTGAAGGTTCTTAGTTTTATCAAAGTTTTTCGTTGTGCTTATCTAAACGTTCGATTTTTTCAGAGCGTGGAAAAGCTGAAATCCCTCTGCCTGCAGTATGCAATAGCAATACAATGGCTGATCCCATCACTCTACACGCTCGAATCTCCAGCAGAGACCAAAAAGACAAAGCGTTGTCGAGGGCAGCGCTTGCGAATGGTGAAAGACGGCGAGGATGCGAACTTCAAGAACACAATCGGGTATGCGTGCCTTTCCTTCTCATTGAGAATTCTAACGTTCGAACTTCCAGGCAAATGGAAAACGATTTTCGGAAAGAAATGAAAGAGCTGCTAAGTCTTCTAAGTAGCAGCTCACAAACCGAGCCATACTTGGCACACTTGGCTCAAGGCCTCCAGGGACAGCACTAGAAGTAAGTCCACTCTTCCTGCCATGCAAGCTTTATTAATTGGTTTTTTCTTCTCTAAGGGTCGTGAGTTCGACACCCATGACGAAAAACTGGATTTCTCCTTGGGCTGCGACGATCCAAGACCTAGCGAGGAATGCTATGGAGTCCGAGGTAGCTGGCAACACCCCCATCACGCATTTGGCATCCATCAGCGAGGCGCTGAGCCAAGGTTTGCAAAATCTATGCCGGATAGACGAAGACAGCCGTGGAGAGGTAGAGCAAAGGGCAGCATCATCTCTGGACAGCGAAGTGTGGTGCAATCTTCCAGAGCATCTCGTCGACACCGTCTTGGCATGGCTGCCACCCGCCAGCCTTTTCCGGCTCAGGACAGTTTGTAAGAGGTGGAACAGTGTGGTTTCGAGCAGGGCCTTCCTCGACGCTTGCTCCAAGATAAAGTCCCGGCTTCCATACTTCCTCATGTTCGCCGACCACTTCCACCGCAGAGTAGCCGCCGTCTACGACGTGAGTGTCTCGAGCTGGCACTTGCTACCGTTCTCCTCCTTCATGCACTGCCGGTTCCCGGAGTCGTTTCTAGTTCTAGCAGCAGCCGGGGGGCTGCTGTGCTTGGAAGGCACGGGGTCGCAAAGCGGAACTATGTTCGTCTCCAATCCCATCACTCGGGTCTACAAGAAGCTTCCACGGATATCGCGATGAAGTCGCCTTACGTGGTCGGGATGGTGGTGGACGACGAGATGAAGTCGTATAAGATCTTGGTAGCACAGGACGGGGAAACGCTAGCGTCGCAAGTCTACGATTCCTCGACCAACAGGTGGAGCTTAACAGGAGTTTACCACCGGAGGACCGCCATCCTCGCCGGTGCTACGTTCTACAACGGGCTGCTCTTCTGCTTGACGTTCTCGCCAAACGGATTGCTCGCGTTTGATCTGGAGAGGGGGCAGTGGCTGGAGGTGAAGCTGGCGCTGCCACCATCGCTCAGCTGTCCGAACCTCATGACTCACCAGGACAGGCTGTTACTCATCGGCGGGATCGAAGAGCTCGGCAGCCTCCAGAGCGTCCACGTCTGGCAGCTCCATCCGACCAAGCCCGAGTGGATGGACGTGGAGAGAGTCCCGGACGATCTGTTCCAGAGGCTGTTCACGTCCTCGTCGGGGCACTTCATCTGCGTCGGGCAGGGGGACTTTATCTGCCTGCACGAGTACTACTCGCCGGAGATACTCATGTATGACATCGTCAGGAGGTCGTGGCAGTGGCTACCGGGGTGCTCGCTCAATGACAACATCGAGGCTAGATCGGTGCTGGGCTTCGCGTTCCAGCCCCGGATCGAGGCAGTGCCTTGAGACAAAGCTTGGGATTCTACGATCCAGGATCCTTGGAAGTGGAGGGGTGAGAAGAAGTTTTTGGGAGAACAACGAAGTAGTGAAGGTGGAAGAAGTTTGGAGGCGCCACTGATGTGTGATGGTGGAAGAAAGGCAACGTTTAGTGGCAAAGGTTTTCCTTTGGTCTTTTTCTAATGGTCAAGAGAATATTCGAAAGTTTGAAAGTTTACATAAGAGTGTATATTTCCAAGCGTCATATGTCGGAGTTCGTATTCCTGCGACTTTGCTTATGAATATATTCAAAGCTAAAAACGAAATGAGAGTACCATCACCTTACAAACTTGAGTCTCCAGATCATCCAGTTTTCCTTTCAGCTGCACTTCACCGAGAGAGAGACAACGAAAGGAAGTTACAATTCCAGCACGGGACCCGACCTTCGCAGGAGCTCTCTGTCTTCCTTGATAGATTTTTTGGCTTCATGTAAAGGCTCGCTCGATGATGGCTAACACAAAAACAATGCAATTCAATTTCAAACTGCGAGATCAGACAAATCGATACCTTCGAAACTCCACATTTTGTTGTAGCTGCTGTACTTTACTGAGAGACATTCGCAGGAGCTCGACGTCTTCCTTGATAAATTTTTCTGCTTCATGTGTAGGCTCGCTCAGCGATTCTTGTCGTTGATGCATCTCGCTAACACACAACAAATTAAATTCAATGTAAAACTCAGAGTTTTTTCTTTCTTTTTTTTTTTTTGGACAAGATCGATACCCATGAAACTCCGCAGCGATTTGGAGCAGTCCTGACGACGATGTGGCGGTTCCCTTCCGGACTGGTCGCGTACTTAATTTTCCTGCGCGTTTGATCTGCATGTTACTGAGATCTTTCTTGCAATCTGCACAAGAGAGGTTAAATGCGACAAAGACGCGAAATGTTACCCGAGTCGCTGCAAAACTTCGTCTGGATCGGCTCCTCACAGGGAGGCCGCGGAAGTTGCTGGAAGCCGAGTGCTTTCTGCTGCTGGTGGTGGTGGAAGCCATTGTCCTGGATTTCCTGGACCGCCGCCGTGGGGAATATCTGGTGCCTCTCAGAAACGGATCTCGATGAATGGTTCACTGTTCGTTTCCACCGAGCCCGAAGATGATCTCAGGGAGAGTATGTCTCGGTACGAGGGACCGGTGCTGCCACAGGGAGTTGAGGCCGGAGGCATGAGAAACGTCCCTGGTGGCCTGCATAGCTTGCATGGCTGGTCGCCAGGAGATTGTACAAGCCAGTGAGAGAAGACTCTATGATGTTGGTAACGACGATTGTTTTCCATGTTCACCAGCTTTTCCTGGATGACCACGAACATTCACGCACTCATTGTGACAATTGTATTACCTGCATTGTTATGACAGTATTCCACATGTTTGCGATATGTGTATCGAGTGTCTGCTTCTCCACGATCTGGAGCTCTGCCTTCCTGAGAAAACGATTTGCTTGTAAACATGTTCTAAGCTAAATGAAATGAGAGTAAGAGTATGCCTCCATCATCTTGCGAACTTGTGTCTCCAGATCATCCAGTCTCTCGACAGGTTTTCCTTGCAGTTGCTGCACTTCACTGCGAGAAAGACAACGAAAGGAAGTTAGCTACAAACTAAAACGTTTCCAGCACGGGACCCGACCTTCGACCTTCGCAAGAGCTCTACCTCTTCCTTGAGAAATTTTATCGCTTCAGGTGAAGACTCACTCGACGATTCCTGTACTCATCTCACTCAGCACGAAACCAGAACTTGGAACGTCAAAGCTTACGAAAAATTCGACAAGCTCTCCTCCTTCTCTTCCTCTCTTCTCTTGAAAGAAGCATCTCCACGCTTGGGTCTTGATTTCTCCTAAATGGCTGGGAGTTTCTTTGATTCCTTTGTAGGAGTGGAGCACCACGTCCTCCTACAACAATGCAGTGATATTTGCCACAGATCTGGAGATCTTGCTTACCCTAGTTGTGGTAGCAGTTAGGGTTTGCAAGCTTCCACGATTTGGGGCTTTTGGTTCTAGGGGGAAATTAAGTTGTGGGAGTGATTGAAGTGAGGAAGAGGGACGTCGCCAACAACAACAGCCCTCCATTAGCTTCATCGGAGCAGTTATGGCAAAGGACGGGCTTGTTTTCTCCTCTTTTCGCTTCTATAGTTTGGTTTTTGCTCGTTTTCTTGATTCAACATGGCTGGCATTTAGGGAGTGGCAAAAAGCACTTCTAGTGGTGGTGCTTCATTCAGATCTGGGATCCAAGATCTGGATGATCCTAACTCGTGCTCTGGAATTAGGGTTCTTGGGCAATAGCTAGGGTTAGGGTTTGCCCTGTTCTAGGGCTAGGGTTCCTTGGCATGGGTTGCTGCAGTCTTAGAAGACTCTCAAAGCATCTCAATGGTGGATGGACAGTTGCAAAAGCTTTAGAAATGGAGTTTTTTGCTAAGATCTATGCGATTTTGCTTGCTTTGATGCGTGACAAAGACGGTAGCGGTCAAGGATTGGGAGCTAGAGGTCACTTTAGTGGTGACTTGGAGCAGTTAGTACTTAAAAGAGTTTCCAACTTTCTGGATTTTTTATGGAAGACTATGCATGGTGTCTTGCTTTGAGGAAGATCGAGGAGGGAGGATTTTTGGAACTAGTGGTAGGGATTGTTGCCACAATTAGGGCTAGTGGCTAACAGGGTTGATTTGGTGATACACATGTAGGGGATTCATATATCTCTTCTCCAACACCTACTTTGGAGTTCACTCCCTTAGGAGGAGGTTTGTGACCTTTCTCTAGTCCCTATTGCAGGGCTAGGACTCAGTTGAAGATGAGCTAACACACTTGTCTCGTATGGGAGGCAAGGTAGCACACTCTCGCCTTGAGTTGGAGGATGTTCACACCTCGCTTGGAGTTACGAGTTGGAGCTATGTTGCAATTGGACACTATTTTGGGCTTGGAAGCATGTTGATAGTGGAGCGTAGTTTTGCAGGTCATGGAGCGTAGCAGGTGGCTTCAAGTTTCGTGGTGGAGTCACCTAGGAAGCAGATGGCCCAAGAGCAACACTGGGCATTCGTGCTTATGGAGTGTAGCAGGTGGCCTCTAGTTTTGCGGTGGAGGCACCTGGGAGGCGGACGACCCAAGAGCAGTGCTAGGCTTTTATGCTCATGGTTTTGTTAGTTTCACTAGTTTCCCTGAAAGTGCGCTCTTAATATTGTATTAGTTCCTAAGGGGCAATTGAGAAATGTACCTATATATTGCATCAATCCAAGGTGCCCATATCAAGAAGGATGAATTTGGGACCCTTGGTGATGGTCATAAAGATGCACTGCCAATGGTGTCATGGAAAATGAAGTCATTGTGTTTGAATTATAATTATGATGTTCTCTTTGGATAAGAGTGTTGATGAGGGTATAGAGAGATGATGAGGAGTAGGATATATGGCTGGGAGACGAGTTGTCATTGTGTTGACAAAACTGAGTCATCAAGTTTGGTGGTCTAGCATTGCATAAATGTTAAAATTACAAGTAGATTTTTTTAAAAAGAAAATTCCTTCAAGAATATAAAAGGGTAAGTATTATAATGTTCCACTTTATATTCTACAAGTGGACAATAATAAGAGGTATAGTGTCATTGTTGTCCCACTTATGTAGCCCAAATGTTCAATAAATTCTGCTTAGACAAGTGGAAGAAATGCTTGTCATATATTAATCCCAAAACCTAGCATCAGAAACTCATGACAATTGCTATAGTAAAATTAATTTTATTGGTATAGAAGTTTATATAATGAAACACCAACAAAACTCCATACTTTTATAATATATGTATACCGAAAAGAAGGTAAATAAATATCTCAATCCGAATGTTGAAAGTTTATATACTTCACGATCATCCCTTTAAAGGTTTGAACGAGTGATTTCACTAAACCATCTATTTGTGAATGATAAACACTTGTGAAAGTGTGGTGTATCTTTAGCCGAGAAGTTAAAATGTGAAATGCTTCAATAATAAATATGGGATTATTATCTAAGAGAATTCGCTTTAGACAAAAATGCTAAAACACCACTTAATTAAGGAGGAAGTATTCAATAGTAGTTGCAAATGCACTAGCAAAAGCACAAATTTCCATTTAGCAAGTCAAGTAGTTAAAAGCAATAATGATATATTCATTGCTAGCAATCGACTATGGAAAACACCCCATTAAATCAAATGCCACCAATTGAAACAGACAATAAATTATAATTGATTCCAACCGTCCTACAGTACAAGGGGGAATATTACAAACTTGGCATCAAACACAACTACACACATACCGGATAACATTATATTGCATCTCCAGTCAATAGAAAGAACTGCATAGCTTCTCAATCATACAACGATGTCCTATATGCCCACCTAGAAAAGGAGAATCATAGTAGACATGAAGAAAGCATAAAATAAATATCGAATGCACCACCAACCATAAATGATCATCAAGATCCGACTCTATAAAATAAAAGAAAGTCGTCCTCAAGGCAATATTGAAAATATAAATGCTAAAATGGCAAGTCATCAATAAATGATGTAGGATTCTCAAACCCATCATGAAGCCTTCGGATCTATAACTCAACCTTTTAAGCTTCATGAACCTCGTCAAGAGAAGGTAAATCTTGCTCCACACCTTATGGATATTAAACATCAAGTACAATAACTACTAATAGCATGGAATCTTTATCTAAAAAATCCACAAATACTAAAATAATAGACTCATCAAGAATAAGAGAAAAGAGTGAAAAAGGAAAAAAAGTTTAAGAAAGGGCATTAACATTAGCCATAGAACTCTTTAGACAATGAATAACTTCAAAATCATATATTTAAAGCTTTAGAGCCTATCATACAGTACAACTAACTAAGTTCTTTTACTTTAATAACAAATTAATTGTAATAGAATCACCTTTTAGTAATGTTTGAAAACCATGGAAATATGTATAAAGCTTCTCAAAACCCTAAACTACTACTAAACACTTCTTCTTTATCATATAATAGTTCACCTCTGTAGCACATTTTATCTCTCTCCCCTTAAACCAACTAGAAAAGGGGCAATTGTTTAATGAGAGAGCCCTTAGTGGCTATTTTATCCCCATTTAAGTGTTTTTAGGTTTAAATAGTATTGGGTTGAGTAAACTCTCAGAAAGTCTAAATTCAGGAACTTATATTTCCATCTTAGAGAAAAAATTCACAGTGACAGTATATCCAAATCTCATCCTATGATTACATGCACTACACTCACCCCCCTTTCAGAGATGTCAATGTCTTCATTGACTATTGATTAACAACCCCTATTGAGAAGGGGAACTAACACTTCCATTTTTGCACTGAATTTGCCAATCCTTCTATTGTGTAGACTAGTTATTTCATGTGAAGCAACTAGTCATCTACCCGTACCGTAGTCCCACAGTGGATACTTTCGTCCACGGATACTCCACACAAGAGGAAGGACGTATGCATGGATGCCTAATACATATGATTTCAAATTTAGGGGTAGGAATATACCTTGCTCAAGGGTATATTATATTTTTAAGCATAGTTACGAACACGAACACGGAACACGAACACGAGCCTCAGATTTCAGGAACCCGAACACGGAACACGATCACGGCCCACGATGGCTCACGAATATTCTACTGAATATTCTAAGAATATGTTACTTAAAAATTATATTCTATTTCTTATTATATTATTATAGGAATATGCTATATTTTATTATATTATTCTTAATATTTTTATTTGCACATAAACTACTTCACACTTTTAAACTACTCAAATATCCTGCATCTCATCGTCATCTTCAACCTCATGATCTTCGACCTCACGATCTTTGACATCATCTCCATCTTCCTCTTCCTGTCTTGACTCAAGCTCGTCTTCAGGATGAGGAACTGTCTCCAGGACTTTGTAGCTTACAAACTTGTCGTAATCACGATCATTTTTGCAGGTTAACAACCTGGTGTTGCAAGCCACAAAAACTAGATCTGCTGTCCTGTCCATGGTAAGTCTGTTCCTCTTTTTTGAAGAAACATGCTCGAAAGTACTGAACAATCTCTCCACCGAGGACGACGAGCATGCCTGACTTAGAACTCGA